GCCATATATATATATATATATATATATATATATATATATAATAGCTATTTTGCTTAAATTTTTATGATATGTAGAAGTGAAAAAATGATGACGACAGGGTGCTCCTGTCTGAGTTTGGCCCTCCTGTCAGCTGTGCCCTGCCCTCTCCTCAGATTCCCTTCCAGTGGCTTCTGCCAACTGTGGGGGGGCCTGGGCCACTGTGGCCACTGTCCCAGCCCCTCAGAACTCCTACTCAACCTTTCACACTTTAATTTGGTCCTGAAAGTTCATCACAGGGTTTTACTTTCTACTCCAGGACTGGTTTTGTTTTTATAAAAAAAAAAAAAAAAAAAGTGAAAACACCAACGTGTGAAATGCCTTAGGGTGCCCACTGGAGGGCGGGTGGGCAGGCAGGCAGGCAGCCCCATGAGGCCTGCAGCAGAGCTCTTCAATGTTCCTTTTCTCAGAACTGTGAGTGAGCACCTTCTGACCAGTAATAAAAAATCTTGGAGTTTTCCACGGCCCCATCCCTGAGTCTGTCTGTGACTGGGTGGAGCAGGGCTGACACGGGAGAGCAGGCAACAGCCCACAGGTGGCATGGGGGAGGAGTGTGGGGCACTATTCTGCTCAGCGCCAGAAGCAGGCAGTGGGAGGTTGGTCTGGATGGGGAGGGGCGGGGATGGAAGACCTGGTGGGACAGGGTCTGGGCCAGGAAGGCTGCAGAGGGCTGAGGTGGCACCTACTGGAGGGTCACAGTTTGGCCTGAGGCCAGGCCAAGGCCCTCACCACTCTCCACAGGGAACGCTGGCCCTGGTGAGGTCTAGGGTTGCTCAGTGACCATGACCTGACCTCAAGCAACTTGGATCACTAGTTCCCAGGACCCAAACAAGGGTGGCTGGTCTGGCCCAGTGGGTCCTCCTCCCACTGCCAGCACTTCCAGGTGACAGGATGGAGTGGGGCAGGGCACCACAGGGGCATCAGAGCCAGGCTCTAGCCACCTGTCCCAACACCCCAATGCTGTGGGATCCAAGGCTGGTACCGTACAACTCCTTCCAGGGCCTTAACTTTCCCATCTGTGGGGAGGCAGGCACTGGTGAGTCCCTGCCGAGGTGCTGGAGGGACAGCCCTCACTGGAGAGAAGGGCGTGGGGTGATCCCTGGGCAGGTAAGTAGATCCCACATGCATGCCGCAACTAAGAGTCCACAGGCTGCAACTAAGAGACCACATGCCGCAACTAAGAGGCTGCCTGCCGCAACCAAAAGATCCCACATGCCGCAACAAAGATCCTGCACACAGCAACGGAGATCCCACGTGCCGCAACTAAGACCTGGCACAGCCAAACAAATAAATAAATATTAAAAAAAATTAAATGGCTTATGGAGTTAGACTTTGATGAGTTAAGTATTGGACTGGCCAAAAAGTTCATTCGGATTTTCCCACAACATCTTACTGAAAAACCCAAACGAACTTTTTGGCCAGCCCAATATTATGTAAAACATATAGAGGAATAGGAATACTAAATTTCAAAAACTGAGAAAAAACACTATGTGGGGGAGAAATTTTCAGTCAATCTAAAAGAAAGCAGGAAAGGAAAGGGAAAAGGAATGCAGATAAGCTGGAATAAAAATTTAAAAATAAGAAGATGGAAATAAGTTAACCAATATATCAATAATTACACAAAATTTAAACAAATGCTTTGGGTAAGAACAAAAAATATCAAATACAAACAAAATCCCACTATATGCTAGTTACAAGAAAACACCTAAAACATAAGTATACAGACAAGACAGACTTTGAGACAAAAAATACTACTAGATGTCAACTTTCAGAAAATAAAGCAATCACTTCTTGGCCTTTTGGCTATGATCAAGGGTAGAAAATTTAAAAAGCCACTTTATAATGATAAAAAGTAAAATTCATAGAGTTCTAAAACTCACAGGCACCTAGTAATATCTCAAAATAAAGTAAAATGGACACAATCAGAAGGAGAAATAGATAAATCCACAATCATAATGGAAGATTTTAACATCTCTCTCCCAGTAATGAGAGCTCAGACAGACCAAAAATATCAGCAAGGGTTCAAACAACACAATTAACATCTGGTAACAGGCACATACAGAGAATTACACGTAACTGCAAAATACATATTTTTGAAATGCACACAGAATATTTATGAATATTAGCCACATACTTGGGCCAGTTGTCAAGCCTCAGCAAATTTCAAAGGACTGGCATACAGACCACATTCTAATATCACAATGAAAGGTCAAAATCAATAACGAAAAGATAATTAGAAAAAGCAACCATGTTTGAACATTAAGAAATATGCTTTTAGGGCTTCCCTGGTGGCGCAGTGGTTGAGAGTCCGCC